TTCATTTGAGTACTAGTTTGCAAAATTTATTTTTATGTACTTATTTTTATTTAAGGAAATATTAGAAACATATTTGTTAATAAAATATTAGCCTAACATTTTAAAATGGTCTAACCTCAGTTCACAGGAATGATTCATGAACGTTCAGACTGTTTGGTTTATACATACCTACTTTTAATGAAAACTTTTAATAGAAATCAAAGAAACACAGACCAGAAAAAAAAAGAAAAAAAAAACTTTAATTAAACACATTTGTAACACACAGTTGGAAACACATCCTCATAAGCATGGGCATTTATGAATCATAGACAGATATAAATGTGATTATTTAATTAAATTCATAATCACTGCAATTTACTATTGTAATATATGAGGTTTTACATTTTGATTGAATGAAAGCACATTTTGAGGAAAATACATTTTACAGACAAGAAAATTTGCACTAGGGCGCCTGGGTGGCTCAGTTGGTTAAGCGACTGCCTTCGGCTCAGGTCATGATCCTGGAGTCCCGGGATCGAGTCCCGCATCGGGCTCCCTGCTCAGCAGGGAGTCTGCTTCTCCCTCTGACCCTCTTCCCTCTCGTGCTCTCTATCTCTCATTCTCTCTCAAATAAATAAATAAAATCTTAAAAAAAAGAAAATTTGCACTAGTCTAAATTTATACATTTAAAAGTATTTAATACTAACTTGGAATATGAATATTTAGATTAGACATCTGTTGAATTCCCTAGTAAACTATACTACATATTCTAATGGTCATGATTTAGAGTTTTAGGAGGGAAATATTTAAGTCATAACGACTGTGGGATAAAAATAAATTGAACACTTAAGTCACAATTTTAAAGAGAACAAATTGAAAAAATATTAATATTTAATTTGTTTTCTTCTATATTGATAATGGTGAATCTACGGGAGTGGTATATTTCATTGCTCTGTGTTCGCTAGAGCCCATCATAGTGACATGCACATATCAGACTTATGTGCTCACTGGATAAAATGGATTGTTCCCCAAGTTATGGAAAATCCTCTAAAAATCATAGCATCAAACTTGCAATTGCACGGAAATACCGTATACCAAGACTTTCACTGCATCACTATCTGCACAGACAGCACTCTGCTAATGTGAGCTGCTTTTACATTGGTATTGGGTAAAACATGGATGATTTTTAAATAGTGTAGTTTCTGCTAGAAATCATATGTATAGGATTGCCAGCCCATTGTGTTTTGTTTTTGTTTTGTTTTGTTTTTGATCTTCAGAAAGGATTCAAATGTGCAGTCTGCTCTCTCCCAGGATCAGTATTTTAAAATTTACATGATTTCCTTAATTGTTTCTCAGAAACACAATTTGGCAAGTTAAATAACTCATTGCAGATTAAGTAATGAAGGCATAGAAATAATAAATAACTTTCCAAATTTCATGTTCCTAAATAGAGGGCTGGAAAGGGGATTCATATTTAAATTTGTCAGATTCCAATGTGTTTTATTTACTCTGCCATCAAAATGACTTAAAATTGAACAAACAAAAACAGAAACAGACTCATAAATACGGAGAAAAAACTGACGATTGCCAGAGAGGAAGAAAGGTGTGCAGGAGGGTGGGTAGACAATACAGCTGAATGGATTAAGTACAGATCTCCAATTCTAACATAAATAATTGCAGCCTGGGGAATGTAATCAGTAATATTATAACTTTGTATGAGGACACATGGTAACTACACTTACCATGGTGAGCATTTTGTAATGTATGTAATTGCCACATCACTTATGTTCTTGTACACCCGAAACTAATCTAATATTGTATGCCAATTATACATCTATTTAAAAAAAAAACAATTGCTAGAAATAAAGCATGAAGATAAAAGTAACAATAGCAATAACAGAAATGTTGCATTAAGAACTTCAGGAACAGAAGGAAATGCTTCAAACACACGAACACACGTGAATATGTTCACATTTTATAGGTAAAGTTATTGTCATTTGAAGGGTAACATACTAACCCAGTGGCTGTGGGAAAGAAAGAAGAGAAACCCAAAAGAACTTGCCAGTTTCCTAATTTAGAATTAGCTAATTTTATTACTGAGCAGAAAATACCAGAATGCGGGCAGGTAGACTGCAAGAGGATACAAAGCCATAGTGGGTTTTCAACCTCTAATTATCTGGAATTAAAGCCACAGTTTTTACACATCATGCTACTTTTAGTAAATAGACTGCAGGTATTCAATTTGCATTGGTAATGACAGTAAGCTTACTCCAACATTCTGTTTTTCCTAACTTCATCAGTACCTCCTGCGGTTGCCCCTGGCAGGGCATGGTACACAGATCATTAGTCATAACCACACCAAGGTTAAATTCAGTTCAGCTTCCCCACAGAACACATAAGGGTAGTAGGTCTACAGATAAACAGGTTTTGTCTGATGGTAAACGCTGTGCTTTTAATCAGTAAGTTATGGAATAGTAATTATACATTGGAGTAATAAAATAATATTCGACCAACATAGAGTCTATTTCCATCTAGAAGAATTGAGAAGAACTGAGTTTCCTGTACCCCAGTATGGAATGAGTGGAAGGCCAGTCCCAGTCCAGGGTTCAGCATGAGCAAGACAGAGTGGGGACAGGGAGAAGGTGAATGTTGAACAAGATCAGATGCTACTTGTTCTTTTATTCTAGCCTTTCGTCAAGATGTAATCTTTCCAGAATCTTCTACAAAACAGGTTTCTTTCTTTCTTTTTCTTTTTTTCCTAACTTCACTAAGGTTGCTTATAATTCTGCCTGCTCAGAAAATAACAGAGAACTATTTACTCAGGGACAATTAAGGCTGCTGATACTAATGATTAGAGCCAATAAAATTATTCTTGCCTCAGGTTTCTAGAACAGATTACTTTTGTCTGCTCTGGAAAGGTGAGCAAGTACCTAGTGGGAAATATAGGAATACATGAAAAAAATCATATCTGACATTTAGAGTAGAAGAGATCTATTTATATACCGGCAAGAGTAAGGCCGTGAATATCCTATAATAAACCTTGGTGAATTGTAGAGCAAGTACACTTTATTGTTCTTTTCCATACAAGTCTAAATAATTTTAGTACTTATAAACTTTAGAATCAGCTTTTAATTCTATGGACATTGGGATTTGCAACAGATTACACTGAATACACACGTCAATTCAGAAGGGTTGGTTTTATTTGTGATTTTGCGTCTTCCTAACCACACACATGATATAGCTCTTAATTTCTTTAATGAAGTCTAAATAAGCTAAACTAATATGACACCTCAATAAAGTGGTCTGCATATAGGTCTTTCACATCCTTTGTTAGATTTATTTCTAGCTTCCTTATAGCTTTGTTAATTAACTCTAGTTAGTTTTTCAACATTAAGAATAATGTACGCTGTAGTTTTGTTGTTTGTTTAGTGTGCCCTTAATCAGTAGGAGAAGGCACATTTCTACTTATTCGCTGAGAGTTTTTGTTTTTGTTTTTTTTGCTTGGTTTCATTGTGTTTATCATCTATGGATATTACATTCTATTTCTTGGTTTTTCTGTATGTGTTGAGATGATTATTTTTGTTTGTCCATCCTTTAATTCATTAACCCTGTGAATAATTTTTACGCTTTTTAAAATGTCCTTCCTCATTTCTTTCTTTGTATTTTCCTTCCTTCCTTCTTCCTTTAACGTTAAACAAAACAAGTGTGGAACCAAACTGATAAAGACAGATTTTTTTTCTTTTTTACACGCCAGTGGATTGGGTTTGCTCTCATTTTGTTTAGGCTATTTACGTGTAAAATCTCTCATGAGTGAGAATGTCTGGTATTGATATTGACAGGTCACAAGCCACAGAAAACAAACTTTCAAGTATCTCCTCCTTCTTCCATTTTCTGGGAAAAAGATGTATAGGACTGAAATTACCTGTTTCTTTAACTTTAGGTAAAATAATCTGGAAATGATTTTTTTTTTTTGCTTTAGAAAAATTATGTTTTAAATGAAATTTGATTTTCTTTAGTTACTGTAGTACTCCTCAGATTTTCTATTCCTTTTAGAGCCACCTAGGGTATTTTTTATTCCATCCATATTCTTACTAGTTTTAGTATCTTCTGTATATGTCTATGTATAACCATGCCCCCTTTTTTTCAACTTCTCATGTTCTACTTTGATAAATTGATACATTTATTTAGATTTTATGTCTTTTGTTTTAGTAATACTTTTTAAAATTACTTTTTAAAATTAATCTATTTTAATTTTGGATTTTTTAAAAATAATGACAGAAATATCAGAAATAAAAATATACATATTTAATTTCCCATTATTAATTCTGCATTTATAGCTTTAACATGTAAAATAAACTAAACATTTGCCTTTTCCTCACATCTCAAAATTAATAAACTTACTGAAAAATGGAAAGACTGTGTTTAAGAGTTATTTAAGATGTTAGCTATAATATTTTGATATCTGCCAGAGTTATACATTAATTCTATGTTATGTTCTGATTTCAATGATTATTTCTCCCCCACGTATGACTTAACATCACACACTGCATGCATTTTTTTCTATAAGAAGAAAATTATTCTTTGTGCAAAAATGGTAATTTTTTATTTTCTCCAAGTTTATTTAAATTTGAAAACTCAAACTTTTTAAAGATTATGTAATTTTTTTTTACCAACTGCTATGCTTTTCTTAATGATCAAACCAATTGTTCATCCCTTAGACTCTGACAGCATACAATGAATTCTGACAACTTTCTCCCACCCCAGTTCCTGAATAACATGTAATTTCCTTGATATAACAAAATATCATTTTAGCATTCATGTCATGCCTTGGTGTTCATTTTTCATTTTTCCGTAAGTTAATGAGTTCTAGCAAAGAGTGCCATCATAAAGTTGTCTTTTGCCAAAAGTCCTGTTGCAGCATATGGAGCTAGTGACAAGCTACAGTATTAAGGAGATTTGTTTTAAACCAAGCCTCTAAAGTGTGCATGGAAATACTAAATATATCCCTGCATGTTTTGCAGACAATCCTGGTTTGCTGAGCCATGTCACAGTGGGTATTAGAGTTCTGGATGTCAATGACAATCCACCCGAACTTGCCAGGGAATATGATATCGTTGTCTGTGAAAATTCAAAACCTGGCCAGGTAAGTTAATTGTTTCCTTCCTATCATTGGAATGGAAGAAAAATAAGCAGCTCTATTTCTATTATTTTAGGTATAATCCTCAAAATCCCTCAATATTATTTTTGTGCTCAGTAAAAATAATTTTATAAAGCTTTAAGTACCAAATGGATTTTTTTGAGAATTGTTGAAAATAAATTTTCTCCAGAACCCAAATGTAAATCAAAAAATGAACTCATTCATACATACATTCATCATACCAATAAAATTATATTGAATGCTTTGTGTGAAGCCTTGTATTAAATGAGGAGGAAACTGTGAACTTTCTTGTCCTGTGACATTGTACTGTAGTTTTGCAAGATGTTACCAGAGGGGGAAACTGGGTACATAGCATCTGTCTATATTTCTTACAACTGTATATGAATCTATAATTATAAAAAAATAGAAAATTTAATTAAAAGTAAAAACATTTTTAAAAGATATAATACCTTAAAAAGAATAATACCAAAAGCTAATTTTTCATCAAGAAAGATAAAACCCAGGGGCACCTGGGTGGCTGAGTCAGTTGAGCATCCACTCTTGGTTTCAGCTCGGGTTGTGTTCTCAAGATGGCGGGATCAAACCCCCCTAGACAGGCTCTGCGCTAAGCATGGAGTCTGCTTAGGACTCTTTCCCTCTTCTCTCCCTCCCCATTTTGCTCCTCCTCCTCCCTCTACTTGCCCATGCACACCCATGCTCATGCTCTCTCTCTCAAATTAAAAATAAAATCTTAAAAAAAGAAAGATAAGACCCAGAAAACAATGGAAAGATAATTCCCAACAGTTGCACGATAATAACTGACAACCATGAATTCTTTTTTCTACCAAAATATCCCTCAAAAACAGAACAGAAAATCGCAGAGTTAAGCCAACAAAAATGTGAAAATCTCTTACCATAAGGTACACCCTAAAGCTTTTATTGGGTAAAAAAGAAAAATAATTATACTGGCAGCCTGGAGTCATAAGGAACCTTCAAAACAAACACAATCAATAAGTAAATTCATAAAAACTAAATCATTAATGAATAAATAGAAATCAAAGGAACATTTTCTAGAGTTTAAAATAGACATCATATACATGGCAACAAGAGATCGTAAGTTAGAAAGACAAATGAAGTTAAAATATTCTAAACTCCTTAAATTTTGGTTCCTTAAAATTTGAAAAATTTGGCTTCTTAAAATTTGAGAAATTGATAAACCACTAATTTATAATAGATTTTATATGTCCAGAATGCATGCTGTAACCTCTAGATCAACTAATAAAAATAGTAAAAAACATGTAACTGATAAGCTAGTAGAAACTGTAATTAAAAAGACTTAAAAAGACTGGGTGTCTCAGTGGGTTAAGCATCTGCCTTCAGCTCAGGTCAAGATCCCAGGGCCCTGGAATCTAGCCCAGAGTCTGGCTTCCCACTCAGTGGGGAGTCTGCTTCTCCTTTTCCTTCTGTTCCTCCCCACAGTTGTGCTCTCTCTCTCTCAAATAAATAAAATTAAAAAAATCTTTAAAAAATAAATAAATAAAAATACTTAATCCTGGAACACCTAGGTGGCTCTGTCAGTTAAGCAGCTGCCTTCGGCTCAGGTCATGATCCCAAGATCCTGGGATGGAGTCCCACATCGGGCTCCTTGCTCGGGGGGGAGCCTGCTTCTCCCTCTGCCTGCCTCTCCCCCTGTTTGTGTTCTGTCTCTCTCTCTGACAAATAAATAAGTAAAATCTTTTAAAAAAAATACTTAATCCTAAGGAAAGCAATGTTTACATTTCTATTTCTTGACCTTAACTGTCTTCATGAAAATGTTTGTTCACTTTAAAATAATTTATATACTTAGAAACTTGTTGCATGTGCTTTTATCCCACTGGAGTATGTTTTACAGTAAAAAAGCTTTTCGTATAGGAGCAATTTTCAAGGATTCTAGAAGGACCCGTTGAAAACAAAAATATAATCCTAATAAAATATGAAATTTATAATCGATAGTAATTCCAAAATAATCCAGAAACTTCTGTGAAGTTTGTAAAGCTCAAAATTAGGATGAAAAATTCTCATATTTGCTGCTGATATATAGATTGTCACAAAATAGGCAAAATAAATGATAAAAGGTTTAGTACACAAAATTCTAATAGCTGGGTAAAGGTCATTTGATTTAAAAAATCAAGAAATAAGACAAGAAATATAGAAAAAATGGAAAAATAGAAAGTAAATAAAAATGATGTAAATTTAAAGTATATGTTAGTATCCTTGTTGAAATAAAATCACTTAAATACTCAAAAGATGCATATTGTCAAAATAGAAAGAAAAAAGTTCATTTAAATGTTTTTATACGAGGTGTAAAATAGGGGGACCTGGGTGGTTCAGTCAGTTAAGTGTCTGCCTTCAGGTCAGGTCATGATCTGAGAGTCCTGGGATGGAGCCCCGAGCGGGGCTCCCTGCTCAGTAAGGAGTCTGCTCCTTCCTCTCCATTTGCCCCTCCCCACCGCTCGTGCGTGCGTGCTCTCTCTCTCTCAAATAAATAAATAAAATCTTTAAAAAATAGAGGTATAAAATAAACAGAATAAAGGAAAAGAGTTTGAAAGAAAATATATGTAAAAATATACCAAATAATTACTTTATTAATTGCTACATACATACTTACCCAACTACACACACACACACACACACACACACACACACACACACACACACACATTTCAACAACGGAATGTTACTAGATATAAAGAAGCACATTCATTGTGATAAAAACAGTTTATACACCCGGTACAAATGATAATTTTAAATTTATATATACTTATCAATGTTGCCTTAAAATGAACAAACCAAAAATGATAGAAATAACAAAAAATAGACTAGCCCATTGTTGTATTGGGAGTTTTAGTATGCTTTTACCAGAAACTGATAGAATAATTGTATAAAATTTTGGGAAGGATATTGAAAATTGAACACCACAATTAACAAACTTTACTGTTTGATAAATATAGAATAATGCACTGAACAACTTCAGATCACCATATTCTTCTGAAACTTACAGAGAACATTGACCAAAAATTTACTGTATACAGGACCACAGAGTAAGTTTTAGTAATTTGCAAAGGATTGGCCTTATTATTTTCTGTATGACAAAAAAATAAATAAATAAAGCTAGATACTAATTCAAAAGTATTGCTAGGACGAAAAAAAGTATTGCTAGAAAAAAAATCCATTGGAAATAAGGGCACATCTAAATAAGCTAAGAATCACTTAAGTAATAAAAATTAAAAATATTTAAATGGAATGATAGTAAAAATGCACTGTATTAAAAAGTACAAAAAGGGGAAATCTATTTTCTACTCTTTCTTTGATGAAACATAACTCTAATATAAAAAAATGACAAGAATATAATCCCTCACAAAATCTTTGTTTCTTTGGTCCGTGGGTTATTGAGAGAATTTAAAATTGAATCATTTGAAATGTGATATAAAAATTTTGAAATCCAAACATAAGCTAATGATTGCATCAGCCATTTTTAGATGTTTTCTTTTTAAGTAATATATTTCTTTTTTTTCTTTTTTTTTAACTTCAAGGTAATTTCAAAATTTATAGGATAGAGTGAGATGCTGTATTGGGAGCAATTCATATTTGCTAGTCCCAGCCACCTTCAATGCAGGTGAAAGCATTGAAAATTTGGGCAAATAATACTTAGTCCTTGCTCTTGGATCAGTTGATTTTTCTCCTGTCATTGTGAACATGTGCTCCCAAATCTAAAACGCTAGTGTTAGTTTTCTAGATTGAATTCTCTCCATATTGGCCAGTGACCTTGACTTTTTCCATTGACCTCTTGATCATGGGAAAGCTTATTCAGGCTCTCTTTCCAGGTCATGCTTTCCTGTCAGTGCCAGCTTGCTAGCCTGGGTCATTCTATTTTACCCTCCACACTGACCACCTAAGGTCCATAGCATTTCTAAGAAATGGTTTATGTGACATTGACAAATGCTTTCTTCATCTCTAAAATAAAGAAAATTGTTGGAATTTCAGGGCCCTTCCAAGCCTGAAATTTTATGAGTAGATGAGTAGATGAGTCTCAAATTCCTTTAAATGTGGATTACTTTATTCTCCTCACATGGGAAGCCGTTCCATTTTTTAGAGAAGGTTAAATTTGTGACAAAAACGTATCTTTATCTTCTGGGTCCCATTAACCATTTATATAGTATTTTTCTTTTCTTCAGATAACTGTTACTGTTTTCAGAAAGCAATCACTAGACTTAGCACCCCTAAGATCTAATGTATATCGATTTATTTATGTGATTATGGTTATTATCCTTTAAAAACTATATTCATAGTTAGCATCATTATTGTCTTTAATATTGTATGATTTTAGATGTCACATTAAGATACTTGGTTTCTTTATATTGCTTAAGTATCTGTTTCTCTAAACATTTGTTTCATCAAAATGAATTAAAACTTTTTACTGAGGGAATGAAAAGCCATTTGAAGATATTGTTTATTGCACTCTTATTTAAACAAACCATTGCCAATCTGTGTGGCCATTTTTTATGATTAACCTATTACAAGGGAAATGATCTGAATCTTTCTATTGTTTAATTTTGCCGCCTTTGGTTCATTTAACCTTATGTTTGTAGCATTTCTGGATAAACTTTGTGTATTTTGATGCAGAGTAGGAATAGGGAAGTCTGTTTAAATAATGATTTGTGAAATAGGTTTTCTGAAGCATATTGCCCAGCTGTACAATGTCTCCTCTTTCTGTAACAATTGCTTTTAGAATTATAGACATTTTTATTATGGATGCTGTGCATCTAAATATAACAGCACGTGACCATGGCAGAGAGGCGTGTCTTTTGTGAAGCAGAGGTTTAAACCACATACAACAGCAAAGTTCACATTGAATCAGGTATCAATACACCTGAACTGCAACAATATATTTGTCTGAATTAATAAATTTTCCTGTTCTGAAAAAAAAAATTTTGAAGTACCTTGCATGAAACAAATATTAAGAAGAAAATCATGCATGCATGAAATTTGAAGTCAGTTCCCAAAGTAAAGTGAATTCATAATAAATGAGATGGGTCTACATGTAGAAACTGAAATATGAATGATGGAAATGTTTTTATCTTATTTATATTGACTTTCCCCTCTGTGTGTGTGTGTGTGTGTGTGTGTGTGTGTGTTTCATTACAAAGTAAACTTAGAAAGCATAACATCTATTAAAAAAAATTGTATTGGGCGCCTGGGTGGCTCAGTTGGTTAAGCCACTGCCTTCAGCTCAGGTCATGATCCTGGAGTCCCGGGATCGAGTCCCGCGTCGGGCTCCCTGCTCGGCAGGGAGTCTGCTTCTCCCTCTGACCCTCCCCTCTCTCATGTTCTCTCTCTCTATCTCATTCTCTTTCTCAAATAAATAAATAAATAAATCTTTAAAAAAAAATAAAAAAATTGTATCACCTAATACCAGCATACCTGGTGTTCATCACATCCAATTATTAATAATAAACTTTGTATGAAAAAATACCTAGATCAGTAGAGATTTTACAAGATTTTACAAAGGTCAACTCATTGAACCAACAGAAGTTAGTGTTATTATTAAATAAATTTATGATCCCGCTTGGGATTATATTATAAAGCAAATTCATTGATTAATTTAAAGAAGATACAGTGTGTTCCATAAAATATTCTTTATTTTATTTTATTTATTCACTGGAGAGGGAGAAAGAGAGCACAAGGGGGGGCAGAGGGAGAAGCAGACTCCCCACTGAGCAGGGAGCCCGATGCGGGACTTGATCCCAAGACCCTGCAATCATGACCTGAGCTGCAGGCAGACTTTTAACCAACTGAGCCACCCAGGCGCCCCTAGAATATTCTTTTAATTTAAATGTTTAGTTAGGACTAGCCCATTTACCTAACAGAAGACTACATTATTTGTATATATCTGTGACACTGACTAGTTTGATGTTTTCCCCGTTTAATAAAGTAGTCAAGAAGTAATAGACCATAGAAAATACATTTATACAGGGTGATATATTTATTTGGTAAAAGAAATACAAAATTGATTCTAATTAGTTTCTGCTAAAAGTGAATCATTATTCAGGGGCATTACCAAAAACTACAGCTGTTGATTATTTATAAATACCAACTATCAATTTGGATTCCCTCCCCCCTTTAGTAGAATAAATCTGTGACTGTGTTTCTCTCAGGTCTTTCAAAATAACCAAACACTTTATGCACAAATTACATAATATGCACATGATAGAAAACATCTAAGTTCAGTTAGAAAGATTGAGAGACAGAAAATAAATTGTTATGGATTGTACATCATCAACAATTTACACAAATGGAGGGCACAGGTAGCACAGTGTATATAAATCATAACTGACAAAAGCATAGAAAATATTGATGATGTATACATGGCACTTATCTAAATAGTTGCCAGAAGCTTACATCTTTTCAAAATCACAGACATGTTCACTTCTGAAGTGATTTTCCTAATAAAAGTCTAAGGAAACAATAAATGGAAATCTATCTCCTACTGAAAGAGAAAAGGTGATTAGCAAACAGAAAAATTGAATATACCATTCCCTAATAAGAGGCTATCTCTGAGTTCTAGATAAAAGCAGAGCAACATTCTAGGTTTTTGGAAGCATTTTTCAGAAGCATTATGGAAGAATAAGTATGGATGTATGAGGAACGTTCTTCAGGAATTCAAAACGAATGGTTCACTCTTAAACAAAATGTGGCAATCAGCTCATCTTTTACTATGAACACGAGATCAAGAAGTTTTTTAAGAAAGATAAATTCACCATGACTGAGCTTCCTAGTAAATTCAGATTTGAAATTACTTGTATAAAAATGGAAAGTATATTTTACTAATGATAACAGTAAAACAGTAAAGATATAATATGAATTATATCAGTGTTTAACAAATAGAATAAGCTCGTTTGTAAAAATTTAAAATGGGAAGGAAATCATTGTCCCAAATTAGTCATAAGAGGAAATAGAAAATAATTTAGTTGGTTTAAATTAATTGTTCTCTGCCAATCTCTTCCAAAATCACGTTCTAGGATAAGAAGTGAATTTGCAAGTATATTAGTAGGTTATGAGGTATCATTGGAGAATGAAAGTGAGCAAGGATTAGGGGAGATAAGACATTTATTTTTAAAAAGAAAAACATGTATTTATTTTATTTGACCCTGAAAACAATCTTGAAAATTTAATATTTTTATTTCAGTTTTATATTAAGTACCTGAGAACATGAGTATTTTCCTCAGATTACACACACTCTGAACTCTATGGAGCTTTTCACACTTGAGAAAAATTGTCAGATTGCTTCCGATTATCCATCAATTTATTCTCCTATCAAGTCAAAAGTCAATAACAAGGGGAAAAAAAGGATCCATCCAGAGACCAGCTATAATTTAAACAACAACAACAAAAAAAGCAAACAACAAGGAGATATGTAGATTTTTCAGCTCACAAATTAATAGTGTGAAGGGAAGTAAAGAAGAGAAGAATGATAGAGACTTCTTGGGGTATGAGGGGGTTGGGGGGAAGCTTTTACCTAAACTTCTTGCTGAGAAAGTACATTCTGAGCAATAGAGAGCCATATGCAGATATGGATGAAATAGAACACTTCCATAGCCCGAAGCACTTTCTTCACTTCCCCTTTATGAGGACGCATGCTTTTCTGGTCCTACTGTCACTGATGACTCCTTCTTAGTACTTTTACATTCATCTTCATCTCCCTGACCAACTAATGGACTCAATGCATGGATAGGAATTTAGCTTTTAACTGTTGTACATATTGGTATATTATTTCACTTGGAAAAGATTGAAATGGGATGAAATTGAGTAAGATGTTTTTAGAAATCATAGCAATTTTTGAAATGAACACACTATACTTCACATGCAGGAAACACTGTCTTTTTTAAGATTTTATTTATTTATTTGAGAAAGAGAAGGCATGAGCAGAGGGGCAGGGTGCAGAGGAGGGGCAGAGAGAGAGGGAGAAGAAGGCTCCCTGCTCAGCAGGGAGCCCAATGCACAGGGCTTGATCCCGGGACTCTGGGATCATGACCTGAGCCCAAGGCATACGCCTAACCACGTGAACACCAAGGTGCCCCAGGAAACATTCTTTTTATGGCTTCTTGTTCCTCTCTTTCTTTTAATTTCTCTAAGGAAGGGCTAGAAAAAGGACACCTAAGCATTAGGATACTAATTTTTATAAGAGGAAATTATTATCTTGCATATTAGTTTGGATATTTCCTAAGACTCTAATGGCTACTGCTGTTGGACTTTGTGTTCTGTTCATAAGCCACCTGGAATATTTCACTTGTATATTCTAACTTTCTCTGCTTCATAATGTGCATAGCCCGAATTTTGGAATTGCTTTGTCTCAACCACTGTATATGAGAAGTATTCCATAAAACTGTGAGTGGTCTGGTTTTGTTTCTGCCACTATTTTAACAGCTTGGGGGCACATCACAATTCTTTGGGGTCTCACATTCCTTATCTTGGCTATGTTAAAATAGAGGGGCTAGGTCATGCTCTCAAAGGTCCCCTAAACTGTAAAAATAATGTGACTCCACTGTTTTTGCATTTACTTACTGATAACAACATATACTGCAAAGCTGTTCTACACGAACACTAGGATATTTATATTTGTACAAACAATACTTCCTGTTTCCTCAAACAGGTGTTCTTATAAAATCTTGCAGTTAATTGGCCCCAAGGTACTGTGGGTGATAAAGAAAAAAAAATTAAATGTTTGTGCTATGCTAAAAAATAAAGTGTGGATGATTATAAATTGTTCTATAACCTGTTTTCTAAAATCTCATGCAAGAACAAACCAGTTAGCTGGGACATTTATTACTTGAATTTGAAAAGACTCAAGGTGGATAAAGGGGTCTTTAAAAATTCTTTTGTGATGGTAATTAAAAATGCTATAATATAATTATAATCAAAGGAATAAGCCAAATTAAGTTTCCAATTTAGTCTTTGCTTTTTCACTTCAGGTGATTCATACCATCAGTGCCACTGATAAAGATGATTTTGCAAATGGACCAAGGTTTAACTTCTTTCTTGATGAACACCTATCTATAAACCCAAACTTCACTCTGAAGGACAATGAAGGTGAACATGATTTACATATACTTTTTAATCTATGTGATATGTTTTGACTTCATGTGGAATAGGCCTGAGCAGTTTTGCTTTATTCGTACATACGCATGAACAGCTTGCAAATCAGCATTCAAAGTCAGTTTGATGTTAATGTATTATGATCTGTGAATAGCTTGTATTTAAAATTGAGCCATATGTACAAATAAATTTCATTGAGTTTAATCAGAAGCATCCCTTTAAACAAGAAATGTACATGTAATATGCTCTTGGGCAAATTTTAAGAGAAATCTTAGCTGACAAACATGTTTATGAGAGCTGCTTGCAATTGCTAGGAGGTAGAAAAATTTTAAATTAGGAAAAATGAAAAATATGTCCTAGGGACAGTTAAGAAAGGAAATGCAATGTTTGAACTCATCTTGCAATAGCAAGGCTATCAAGATGTGGTGTACAAATTATATTTCCTCTTGTTATTATGAATATTTTTCAAAATATGGGTAGAAAATACGCATAATTGCAGAATATTGTGGAAATTTTGAATTACTTTTGTTTAAACTTCTGTATTGTGTGGGGGAAAAAAAGAACACCATAATTTAGTAACCAGAGAAGTCTTATGTTTTAGATTCCCTATTTGGTAGGTTTCTCAAGGTTGTATAAAACTCCACTTTGCTGTAAAGGAAACATTGAATCAGTCAATGTGTGCAATGTTCTGATTTGTATCAACTTTCTTCTTCCCCAAAACTATCTTTGATCACGTTTATCTGAATATGCTATTATTTGAGATTTAACATTTGCCTCAGAATCCTATGAGAGAAACAATAGTGCATTCATTTAGGAGTAACATCTAATTCTTTAATTCCCTCTCTGTACCCTTCAGGGAGATGTATTTTCAAACATTATATATATATATATATATATATATATATATATATATCTCACTAAATGTCAACTCACTAAAACATTATGTCCATTTTTCCTAAGCTTCTTTAAATTATCATAACAAGGATACCAAATTGTACATGTGGCCATAACAAAGTTTATATGGAAATAAAAAGCTGCTTGTTTGTCTCTCATTTTAACTACCCTATGGTCAGCTCTACCTATGGAAACACATATTTGTGCATGTTTGTGTATGATGAATTGTATTAACTGATTACTATACATTTATGTACATTTGAACATCCCCTTCTACAATCCCAAATATATTTAATATAATTAACTGTGTGAAATATGTAAAAAAAAAAACCTCTATTCATCTTTCCCGTATTTCAGATAGTTACATAATTTGGGGAGCACTCAACTTTTTGCCTTAGTAGATTAAAATAACCTCTAGATCCCTATATTTATATTTCAGTTGTTTCTTTTTCCATTCTGATAAGGATTTTATTTTACATTTTTAAGTAATTTTAATTTGATATTATCATGAAAATTTGACTTGGATTTAAAGGTGTGTTATATTCAAGTTATTTAACCTATATAAGTAAAATAGAAACAAGAAAATTTTACTATTGTTGAGACCCACTCAGTTACTGAAAGTTCTTTATATAAAATGTTTATATCTGGAATTTGTGAATTTAATGAATGGATATACTCAAAATGGCTTAATTCAATGATTTGACATCACTAGTGGTGGGAGCTCATTTTAAGGAATTCCCCTCAAACATATGCACACTTTTAAAAGGGTTTATGATCCTGATGTAAATTTTTAAACTTTTTTTTAACCATAACTATGAATGCTTAAACCAGCTATACTATGTTGAGTATGTGAGGCCTGTGGGCAGTTGAGTAGGGATAAAGATGTTTTAATCTTTATAATAGTAAGACTATTTTGAAAAATATTGGGAATTGATAAAATTATAAATAACACAGGAAAATTTCTTTTGAATAGGTAACAGCAATTTCTAGAAAAGATTCAAATGTATAGCCGAAAGCATGTGCTTATACAAGCAGACTTGATTATGCTAGATAAGCCAAGCCACCTAACTTTCCAAGCTCAGTTTTTATATCTGTAAATTATGGTTTAAAATACCCACTTTAGGAGCGCCTGGGTGGACTCAGTCGGTTAAGTGTCCGACTCTTGGTTTTGGCTCAGGTCATGATCTCAGGGCTGTGAGATTGAGCCCCATGGAGATCTCCATGCTGGGCATGGAGTCTGCTTGAGATTCTCTCTCTCCATCTCTTCTTTTGCCCCTCTGCTCCCTAAAAAAATAAATAAGTAAATAAAATAAATAAAATAAAATACTCACTTTGGAACATTGGGAGAATTCATCATACCATATATAAAGATAGCCTTTTGTCTAAACACACGGCAGTTAGAGGCAGTAATATGTAAAGATGAGATTAAAAATGGAACAGCCATACCAGAATGAATACACTCATACAAATATATGGACCCTCATGAAGAACAGAAACACCAAAGCCAAAAACAGAATTAAATCTATACTTGGATATGACAATTTAAAACTGTTAAGTGTCAAAGATAAGGAGGAAAAACTTTATACTATCAAAAAAATGCAAAATAATTAAAAAGCAATGATAATTAGATTTTTAAACGATTTTGTTTAGAGAGCTAGCGTGGGAGGGGCGGGAGGGAGGACCAGATGGAGAGGGAGAGAGAGTCTTAAGAAGACTTTGTGCTGAGTGTGGAGCCTGATGGGGGCTCAATCTCACCACCCAGAGATCATGACCTGAGCCAAAACCAAGAGTCAGTTGTTTAACCGACTTGCCACCCAGGCATCCCAATAACTAGTAAACTAGATTCCTGGTTAAAAAAAAAAAGATGGCAGAAGTTGATAAAAATCATCTGCTCAAAATGCTGATGAAAAATAATTTGCTATTACCAACCTTCTCTAGAGTTAGTTAAAAATAGTAAGCTATCAGGAATCAAGGAAGACTCATTATTAACCAATGTATAAAAATAAGCTTTTTACTTTTAGCTACTGATGTTTTGACAAATATTGTATTAATCTTTGTTTTCAGGATCTCTGTGGAATATAATAGATAAGAAAAAATTGTGTAATTATATTTCATTTCATATGTTAAAACTTGAAGAGTAAACACTAAATTAACAGCATAAAAATCTGTGTTTTCCAAAGCAAGGAATGATTTTTGGAAAATTAAATAATAAAACTTATTTTATCAATAGAACAGAAGACCAGAAAGGAGAATAAAAGATGTAAAGCAAAAGCATAGAAAATGAAAGAAGAAAGTAGAAATTCATTCAAACATACTGTGGCCATTATCAGATTGAATTATCATTTTTAATCAAAGCTATATCATATTTAGATATATGTAAATATATATATATGCTGCTTAGATGAAATACACCAAATTCAAAATGATATAGAAAGTTTGATATTAAAAGTTAGAAATATTTAGCCTATGGCTTCAAAAGAAACAACTATTGCTGAAAAAAAAGACAAATCCCAAACCTGGTGTCTTAAAATAAGATCTTTATTTAGGTCACATTTCTAAGAATGAGCGATTTCTGATAGGTTTGTCTAAGCAATTCTTCTGGTCTCAGGATGACTTCAGGCACTACAAATAATCAGCATTGTACAGCATGTTCTCAATTCAAAAAGAAAAAAAGGGAGAACAATAATAAGTAGAAACAAAACACAAGATTATCCTTGTTAATAGATGATGAAATTGTCTATATGAAAATTTAAGATAATCTACAAAAACACCTTTAGTAATAATGAGGTACTTCACCAATTTTTTGGAATACTAATTAAATGCCTCAAAATGGATAGATTTCCTATATTTAAAAAATATGAATAAGTAGTAAATCAGGTACAATTTAAAATGGCAAAAATCAAATAAATTAGCCCAAAAGCTTTCTAAAATCATTAGAGGAAAAAAATCCAATGTATAATGTTCAAGTTGACCCTATGTAAAGAACAATCTACTAAAAATATAAAATCATTCAAGAAAAATAATATATTTACCAAATTAGTGAATCAGAGCAATCAGATTTTCATATTAATCTATAAACTAAATATAATTTTAATGATAAACTGAATTTAGTAATCTGTTAATAAAATGCAAATAGCAAAGCATTAAGAAAAGCAAGAATGTATTAAAAAGAAGATGAAGGACATATATGGTTAGCAGAAAGAGAAGAAAAGAAGGCATATGCTAACAGTAATCAAGACATTATAAAGATGAATGTAGTGAGTATAAACCGAGACAGTTGGATTTTTTTTTTTTTTTGGTAATACAAGTGCATGACTCATGCTTCCATTGCCAAGGTATCTGCTTCCAAGAGGCACCTACTTCAAAGGGGAATTCACTTCCAAGAGGGCTAGCTGGAATAAACACATTCCCAGCCACAAGACTAGCTAAAGATCCAGGCCTCTTTCCCCTGTCCCCTGAGACTCTTTGGTTTAAGAGATCTTAATTGATTTTGATAACTGATCATTTGGGCCTTCTCTCTCTCTCTCCTTGTTTTTTAAATTCCCATTCATATGTTTTAAATTCATCGATAGAGTGAGCCCCCAAAGCCATAGGACCCAACCTTGACCCCAATAACAGCAGAATTTACAAGCCCCGCCCCCATATTCTCTTTCTCTCTACCTTCACAACTTTTTGTGGACCCAGATGTGCCATGTAATTTTCCAGGATGTGTAAGTAAAAAACCTTTTTTCCAAAGTTTCCTGATGGCTATTGCTGAAGAGTGTCTTGCAATCATAATAAGAATCACAAGCACTGGTCCAACCACAACACTGGTTATTAATAGGCTGAAACCAGCACAAAACAATGAAGTACTCCTTAAATATGGTAGAAGTACAGAAGTAAATAAGGAGAAGAGGAGAACAAATTGAGGGGACTGAAATAAAATGATTAGATAACTAAATCTATGTATAAACATATGAATCTGATAGAAGACAAAGGTAGCATTTTTAACCATTGTGGAAAGGGTAATCCAAAAAGTACATAGAAATGGATCCACTGTTTATATATCTAGAGAAACTAAAATTAGAATCTCTCAAATACATGCACAAAAATAAATTATA